GCTTATCAAAGTGAATGCCATCGTTCAGTATCTGCTGCGTTTCCCGCCAGTGTGATCTTCTCTCGTGAGAAAAGCGTTCCCATAAATTGCAAATCGCCCGCGAAACTGGAGCGCGTGTTTCTTCTGTCTCTCTCTCTCTCTTTTAGCGGTATACAAAAATTTGACAGCTGACAAAATCGCGTGCACAAATCAGCATTAATTGACGGGTAATTGTTCTGTGTGTCTATGTAATACGACTATGTAGCCACGTTATTATTCACAGATCTGCGTAATTCGGAATCATAAATGAGTCGGGCATGAACCGAGAAAGCTTGAGCGCGGTTCTGGCCGACCGTGAGAATGTGGTCACACAAAAGAATCTTGAGATCGCTTTCTTCGGAGAGTTTCGGGTCATAAGGCCGATTGCGTCGGCAACAGGATATTTTCTGGGAAGGGTTAAGGAAAATATGCCTTGTCAATGGACGAATTTATTTTATATAGGAAAAAATAAAGAAAATTCAATTTATCGTATCTAAAGAAGAAAGAAAGAATATGCATGATATAAATTATTTATGTCAAATTAAATCAGTTATAAAAAAGGTAAAATTCTTCTCTCGACCGTACTAAATCAGTTATGATTTATTTCAATTAATTGATTAATTTTCTTTTTCTTATTTTATTATAAGCTTAATTAACTTTATTTTTAAATTGGCAAAAATATAATGCAATAAACAAGTATATGATTCGTGAGAAATGATTGCTCGTTAATGAAGGCCAATTTTTCTGGCTGCGCTTAATTTTTCCTACCCCATATACATATACATATACACATTATCTAACGAGATGGAGAAAAACTGATTATGTTTCACGATGCGGAAATGCAATCGAAGGGGTGTACTTGAAAAAAAGTCGTAATCTAATGGTACCAATCGTTGCTCGTATGACTTGATCATCATACGAGCAATTCTTTCTAATACGTAATCGTCGTATAGTTCGTATATATGCGGGTACCCGGAAACATCATTCAACACTCTCCCATACTATGCAATTATTAAAATAATCTAAGTACTTTCAGCAACATTGTTGACGTGTAATGGAAGGTTTCACATACAATCGTGCATGATCTTGTAGATACGATAAACACACTTTCTAAAGAATATATGTGCCCTACTCGCCGTAGGATATTAGCGTGCGCGGAAGCAAATTGCTTACGTAAAAAGGGATCGTAAGCAAAGTATCCTACGCGCATCCTGCTGTTTGATTTTATAGATCTCCCTATCTTTAAGCGTTTGCGAGCAAAGAGAAATCGCGCTTTCGATTAATCAGGCTGATACGAATTCTCTCCGCTTTCACTGATTGCTTTTATACTTATTTCAAATGTGATACAACGATGGCACAACAAAAAAATGCGGGACAGTTTTTTTTTCAAAAAAAGATAAGAAAAAAAGATCAGAAAAAAAGACAAAGAAGAAAAAAATTTTCTTTACAATCGGCCATAATTTGTTTTACATATTTTATTCTAGTCTAAATTTAATGGCTTCTAAAATGAATAGTCAACAAATTTAAAGAAAGAAGAAAAAATGATCTCTTTTCTTATACTGTCCAATATTTTTAACCCTTTCGACAACTGCTCTAAATTCTTTCACTGTATTGTCTATTGTTTACAAAATATAAACTTTCCTATATTTTTTTGATCGCAATAATTCTTCAGATCATCAATTTTTTTCCTATTATACTAACATAAGAAAAAAATGAAAGAACATCATTTTTACGAAAAAAAATGTTTAAAATGGTGTCGTTAAAAGCAACCAGAAAAAACTTTTGTGTGAACAAAAACTAGAGATCGAACTAAATAATAGAGAATTGAGTTTAAAGTTTAAAAACAAATTCGATATATTTTGCAATACTATGGAAGAAAAATTATACATTATTAATTACAATAGCGATAAAAATTATGTTAACATACAACACGTGTTTGCTACTTTGAATATTCTAATTACTAATTAATATTAAAAAAAAAACGTATACATAACTTGTAACCTTACTAGATTAATTATATGAAATAAAAAGTGAAAGAAATTTTCTGTTATATCATGAAGATTATTTTTATGAAAATCGATTACGCGATATCATTTTCATCATATTTAAATAACTTAATAAACTTGAGATTGTGTATAATCTAACAATTATATAAAATATAAATTATAACAATATAATTAACATTTATAACATAATAATATAACGTTTAATTTAAATTTTAAAGTTGTCTTTTATAAAGTACGTGTTAAATAATTTATAACAGGAATAAGTTATAACTATCGATAAAGAAGGTAGATCCATGGATCGTTTGTGATTTCTCAGATCTTAAGCGCCATCTCACACTGTTCTTTTTAGTTGTTCATAATATAACAGTACTACCAACTGAAGAACTTACAGTTTAAATATATTTTATAGCAATAAATGTCGGTAATTCAATTAAATATCTACAATAATATTTTCGTTTAATTGCAAATTGATTATACATTTTAATTAAATATTAAAATAAATATACATAAAATTTTTTTAAAAAATGTGCAAATTGAAAACTTGCACATTGCTAACTTATCATTTTATTTTGTTCATAAAAATTCCTCTATAAGCAAATTGTATTTTCTCTTTTGACTTTCCCAAAGAAGAAGCTTTATGAACGAAATAAAATAATGCAAAACAAATGTGCAAGTTTCTAGTTTGCACACTTTATTCACATAAAACATTTTCTTTTAATTGAAAATTTTTGTTTACAAAAAAATTAAAATTTATCATTTCATAAAAATAAATCTTGTTAATCAATTCTTACCAAATTTAATATTAAATTCTTCTTTAATAATATTCTGTATAATATAAAGTTGTACTGTCTAAAAAAACTAATAAAATTATGAGCAATAATAGCAACGACCATTGTGGTACTTGAAAATAATAGCAACGACCATTGTGGTACTTGAATCTTCCGTCGCTATAGATATTTACGTTCCTGCATTTATCTCTGATTTCATCCAATCCATCATCACAATCTCGCTTAAATATAAATATGTGTGAGATTATATAAAATGATATTATATGAATAATCGTGATCCAATAAATTTTAAAATTAATTCTGATTTAAAAATTAAACATTTAAAAGTGTTTTTCATTTTATTCACACAATAATTTTTATATATTTTAAATTAATAACAATCATTAAAATTATTTCTATACAATAAAAAATATGTGTAAGATTATATAAAATGATATTATATGAATAATCGTGATCCAATAAATTTTAAAATTAATTCTGATTTAAAAATTAAACATTTAAAAATGTTTTTTATTTTATTCACACAATAATTTTTATATATTTTAAATTAATAACAATCATTAAAATTTATGACTAAATTGAAATAATTGTACTAAACTTATAATAAATATAATTATGACCCATCTGTCCATCGCATTCCTATTCCTTTGATATGCAATTTCTTGTATTATTATATATAAATTTAGTCAATGGACATGTTCTCTATCTCTACAATGATTATTTCTTTTATCGGAGAAATCAACATAATCATTGTACCATCACATATATCCGAGACCTTAAAATTTGGAAAAAATTAATTATCGATTTAAATGACTGAAACTAATTAAAAAATGAAAGAGCGGGCTTCAAAATATGGGAATACGTCTATGAAAGGATCCTCAGTTTGATAATACAATCATTTAAAAATAACGCGTTAATACCTAACATAATGATACGTAAATCGGGACCCAAAATTTGGCAAAAATTAATTTTGTTCTAATAACTGAAACTAATTAAAAAATGCAAGAGTGGGCTTTATAATATGAGAATATATCTATGAAATGATCTTCAGTCTGATAATAAAAAATAATTTAAAAATCGCGTATTCTAACTTAACGCTATTGTATAATATCCAAGACTTTAAAATTTGGAAAAAAATAATTATCCATTTAAATGACTAAAGCTAATTAAAAAAATAAAAAAGAGGAATCTCTTATCTTTTTTTTAATAAAAAATAAAAAATTCTGACAATCGTATCTGAAACACGTGAGAAGATGCGCAATCGCAAATTTTTAAGATCCGTTTTTGTTGTGCACCGTTGCAATCAATTTTTGCCGAGTTATTGCCGTCCGTAAAACTATATAAATCGGAATCGCTCGATTTATGAATGGCGCGACCGTCAATTGAACCAGAGAGTGGAATAGATAGTAGTAGCGTGTACGCACAATTCATTGTCAGACATGTGACGCATGAGATAACGCGGCGCGACCACGTGGTCGACCACGTGGCGCAACGCCACACTTATGACTGACAGCTGACAACTGACAGTGAGCTTCTTCGCGTCGCACACGCGACTGGTATGGTGTAATTGCGTGTCTCCGCTTGCAGATTATTGATACTTTGAAAAAGAGCCGCAATAAATTGAGACAAATCGCGTATGAAAGTATAACTCATTAATAATCTTTTTCACTTTCTCGTTAGTTATTAATCAAGATTATATTTTTTAAATATTAATATAATTTTATATAATTTTATTTGTTTTACACGTGTATATAATTATTTCTATATTTACTTAGTGTATTTGCGAATTTTAAAATTTTTAAGTGATAGAAGAATACTGCAAATGCTTAAATGAGTTGTATTATTCTAAGAAAATGACTATAGACTTTTTACATACGTTATGGCATGATAGATATCTTATAAGGATTTAATGAATCTTATTTTGAACTTAATTACAGAGAAATATACATTTGAGATAATTATGAAAAGTATAGATTAAATTAAAATTTAATGAAAATAGTTGTTTCTTAATTATTTATGTTTAATCTTATATTATTTGTCATATTTGTTTAGTATTTGAAGATATTAAAGAAATTTTACAGGAATATTAAAATTGAAAATATGTAAATATATATAAAGCTTTTTTAAATTTACAAGAGATTATTTTATTATATAACAAATACACAAAAGTAATAATAAATAATCCTGTCACACAGTAAATAAAAAAGTTTAGCGAAGGAATGATAATTTCGCATTATCTTGCAAATATATCCCGTGATATATTGAGGATTATCATAATCATCGCGAATATCTTTCCTTTTTTTATACATATATATAACAAGTGATTGCTAATTATCTTTAACATGTATACACTCAAAGAGAAACTGCAACTTTTGTGAAAAATTCTTAAAAATTTTTTAAGTTTGATCTAATTTTTTCGTCAGATGCGTACTGCAAATATTGACAATAGGCCAGGAGAAAAATATTTCGGATCCTTAAATTTTATCAAAAATTTACTTAGCGCAACTGACTTCTCGACAAATTAATTCGACATCGAGCTAAAGGGAGATTATTTTGTTAAATCGACAAAATAATTTTACGATTATAGCCGACGCAGAGTCGACAGTCTTTAAATACAGTACTCTCAACAAAACTGACGTCTTGTCAGCATCGATCGCGATCTACTTCGTAATTATTTGGCGTTTCTTTGGTCGTATCTTATTTGCTGACGTGATCGATAATTCGTTCGAGAGCAATATTGGGCGATCGATGCATCGTAACATCGAAGTCGGGCATTAGAACGACTTTAATAATTCGTTGAGCTGCTTGAAGAGGATGCCGAAGAGCCGCTTGCCGAGTTGTACGAACTCGAGCTGCCACCGGGTGAATAATAACTGTAAGCAAGATTTTGGGCTTCCACGCCATTAGTTGGCATCCAAACACGGGAATATGGACCATTGCCGTCCCACGTATTGGCAGGATCATAGCTCGACGTCGTCGAGGGTGGAGCACCATATGTTGACGCCGGTTCTACAGACATTCCTATGATCGAAAAATTTTATTATATATATTTTTATTTAATATGTATATTAATATATATTTTGATTAAAAAGATAGACGATGCATATGTGATGAGAAAAATATTTTTGCAACAATTAAGATGCGTATTTCTCTTTACAATTGAACAGAAATGTTCATGGAATTTTTCTTCAATATATTAAATACATATTCGAATTGTTTTAAAATTATTAAATATTTTTCCGAGAAAGCTAATTTTTATTAAATTAAACAGAGAAAGTGAAAGTATATTGCAGAGATTGTAACGTGAAATTTGTAGTTGCATGGTTATTTGTAATATAAGGAATAAATATTAAAAAATTGCAATTATCTCGACTTAAGCATTAAATATATTTAAAAATTACACAACTATTTTGATATAAAGCATTAGTGATATAAAAGTACATACCCATCGGCATCATCATGCCGCCTTTCTTGAAAAGCTGAAAAGCAACAAATCCGATCACAATGAGCAAAGCGAGCTTCGACAGGACAAGAGCCTTTAACGCTTTTATTCCAATAATGGCGACAAAAATGGGCATTAAAGCCTTCAACTTTAATTTCAGCAACAGCAAGAATGGTAGTAAAAGCTTTTTCTTCAAAAGTCCTCTAGCTTGACTGGTGGCTACGTCATTATTCTTGAATTCGACGTCAAGATCGATCAAACTTCTGCTGGGTCTATATTGTAAACTAGCATCGACGAAGGGTAAATCGACACCATAATCGTAACTCTTCATATACTTGATGGTTCTGGCAACAATCGCCTCGTCGACGGTTTCGAGCGATCTTGCTTCCGTAGCAGTTCCCAATTTGTTATCGAGATAACTCAAAATTTGATGTTTGAGACAGGATATCCATGATTCCGCCTTTACACACTCGTTCAAGGAATTTGTTAAGAAGTCTTGATTGGCCGCGCAACATCCAATCAGCAGAACTATCGCTCCTATCGATGCTGTCAATCGCATATCGGGATCCTTTTCCTTTCTTCCACGTTTTACAGGAAAACAATTTTTGTCTCGTTTGTTGTTTCTCGTAATTTCCACTCACCGTCCGCGGGTGTGAATAAAAAACGATCGATCGTCCACCCGTGCGAGCGAGCGATGATCGAACTGCGACTGACAGAGGAGTGGCCTGCCCCTTTTATTTAATTTGTTCCCCTTGAAACTATGTTATGCGGTCACGCATGCCGGGAATCTACGATCGAAGGGAAATTATTCAAATTTCACTGGCATAGAGCGTCGTGCCGCCACCCTCTTCGCCAAACCTCTGCGAACCTCCTCCTCACGTCTATTCACTCAGGCATAGGTACGCACGCGTGTAAATACGTGTCGATTGTTGCACGACGCGTACGTCGTACACGATGGCATGCGGCGCATATGGGAAACGGAACTTGAGTCTCGCATCTCTTTTCGCCCGTGCTCGAACTTGGCTCGTCATACTGCCGTTTAGCGGCCTGTATGCCTTCTATGATTACGATTAACAGAATGAGTAACTGTCTCTGTAACACTCTTGAAAACCGCAAGCACCGTATGGTAATTTAAAAGGACGCACGATATGCACATGCCTCCATTATATTACGCTAGGTATCTGCATTGTTTTCTGATTATTATAATGATTTATTACGTTGCAATCATGGTGTTGCACATCTGCCATATAACGCCATAAGTTATAACGATTTATTTAGAAGTGAAATATGTGTAAATTATAATGTTAGGGAGATTTGAAATCTTTTGCTTATGAAAAGAATCCAAGTTTATATACCTACTATTTTTATTTTTTGTTCTTATATAATATAGAATAATTTAGTCCAAATTCATAAATGAATACAAAATTACATTATCTTATTTTTGAATTGCTATATAATATATAGGCTTTTTTTTAATGATGAAATGTTTGAAAATTTATTTTAATATTTTTATTTTTATTTAACTGTTTGAATAATAATAACAGATATAATATTGCGTTATTTGTTAAATCTACTAAAAGTTTAATTTTTTAATTAAAATAATAAATAATTAAAACAACTGTAAAACATTTTAACTATCACATCATTATATAATATAATAAAAATCTTTAGCTAATGCTAGGTATATAAACTTAAATTTTTTTCATAAGCAAAAGATTTTATATTTTCCTAACATTATAATTTACACATATTTCACTTCTTTTACAATCGTTATAACTTATGGCGTTATATGCCAGATGTGCAACACCATGATTACAACGTAATAAATCATTATAATAATCAAAAAACTAAATTAAATAGGATTGCAAGTATAAAATTGAGATTTTATCCATTTTTATTTGCATTCATATATTAAATCGTAATCTCTTTCCCTCTAAAACGCACTTACTGCTTTATCATATTTTTTATATAGAGCTCAAATTTAATAATTTTTATAATTTAATTTTATAATATTACAATTTATTTTATATTTATCATTTATTAATTACTTAGCAACGCGTGTAGATTAAAATAATATTTTCTTATATCCATAGAAATTGCAAGTCACATATATGTTAAAACAGTGAAATGACTTCAAAGTGGTGACTTCTAATTAACTTTCGTAAAAGACGAAAGTGATCACATTTGTATGTAGGTCTCCTATAAGTATTTTATAAGTATCACTCGCAATTGATTTGGATTGCAAAAAGCGTTCTTGTAGACTTAGAAAGAAATGCAAATTTAAGATGATATCATACAAATGAAAAAGCAAAGTGTGCTACACAAATCTTAAACATAAAAGTTCTTTCCTTTATTATCTTGGATCAGTTGCAATATAAATATATGTTGCAATTAAATTTTATGTTTAAGATTTGCAGCACACTTTGCTTTTTTATTTGTATGATATAATATACATATAATATTTATTTATTTTTTATTTTTATGAATAAGTAAAACACACAAAATAAAATAAAAATAAATTATATGAAACTATTATCTAAAACCATAAGTCTTATGAAATCTTTGTCTAAAGAACTGTCAAAGATGCTTTATTAATTAAAAAAAAATACATTTGTGACAGAGCTCCAATATATAATTTTTTTTATATGACTAAACACTCTCTAATTGTATTTAATTAATAAGATACAATTTTTCAAATATGGATAAAATATATACATATTGATTTAGAATTGAAAAAATTATCATTACAAATATCTTCTCATTGCATATTTTAAAACATATAATTTCTTTACATATTTAGTCTTTAATTTTTTCTTTTTTTCAAATAAAATTTAATCTTGACTGACAAGTGGTAGATTTTTAAATGAATGTGGTGGTGGAAAAGGCTTATACTATAATAATTTATTAAATAGATTAATTATACTTGTGATTTTTTCTTTTTCTTTCTTTCTTTTTTGAATAAATTTTATTACTAAACAGTAATATTGAGGTAGGGTTGGGAAAGCAAATATTTTTAAAATAAACATATTATAATATAAATAACTTGAAATAGTTTATTATAATAGTTTATTATAATAGTTTATTAAATAAACAGTATAAATAGGAAACTAAATATTTTACAAAAGCGTCATTAGGCCGATAGTAACATTAGGATTGTGCATGGGCAGAGTATGCAAGATTCTGCGCAAACTGCGAGGAAGAGGGCTGGTCCTGATCTTGGAACGATCTGTATTGAGCTTGATACTCCCAAGGTCCATGAGCAATTGGCGCAGCATGGGAATCAGCGGCGATCTTTTTACAAAGTTGGAAAATGGCCATACCGACGGACACGATAAAGCTGAAGAATGAGAGCTGCAAGGCGTTCCAGGCCTTCAGGCCAAGTACACCGATGGCCAAGGGGATCAAAGTTATCGCCTTCAGGAGAACGAACACGAGAATAGGGATGATGACCTTCTTCAGCTTGGACCTGCGAGCCTCATCGACGGCACGGCCTTGACCGAACTTGACGTCGAAGGTGAGCTGATCGTCCTCGATGTTGCGCGAGCTCACCTTCACGGTGGAGTCCAGCGGCAGTTTGAAGGTCACGTCGTGAGAGGTCAAGTAGGATTGTACAGTGTCAAGGAAGGAACCCTCGCTACGAGCGGATACCTCTTCGGCAGGGCGCGAGTTGCGTGAAATCTCCACCGTTTCGAAGACCTGGATAAATCGAGACAGTGAAAATCAGCGGATTTATCTCATTAAAAATAATGAAGTAAATAAATTTATAAATTTTAATTTTGATAAAATATAAAATGAAAACTAAAATAAAGTGTAAAAGCTATGCGAATTGTTTCGCAAAAGCGTTGCCACCAACATGACTGATATCTACCTTGAAATTATCCTTGCTGAAGATCTGGTCAAGCAGATTAAACACCTTGAATTTCATGCAAGCGATCTCGTCATTCTTCTGCGAGCATTCGGACCTGGATCGATCAACCACCTCGTCCATGGCATTCTTCCAGTTCTCATTCTTGGCTGGTTGCGCGATGGCCAACGCGAATAGGGCGCACAGAATGAAGAACCTCATGGCGCTGGCGGTCAGTTTATATCCGTTTGTGAAAACTTGTAAGGAAATTCTCGTTGTGTACACGATTCGTGGATAATGAATAAGAACGATGGCGGCACGACGACTGATGGCAATAGGTTGGGCAGTACGGTATTTATACGAAGGCCTATCTCATTGAATCGTATAATGCACGTCGAAGAGTCGCGTAGCGGCGTTCGAACACTCCCCCACTTCCGTCCGGGTGTGGATTTTCTTTTCGTTCAGTATGGTCTTCGATTATTGAGGCCTCGCCATGGATCATGCCGCGACTACCTGATGAGGGAGGGATAGACCGTGAGATCGCGCGACACGCTGCAAACGTCAAACCGGGGTAGCGGTCCCGCCAATATGTCATACTTTTGTCAACAGGTCGTACTTTTCGATCATGAAACGCGAAGGAATCTATGATATTAATGAGCAGTAGTTTGCTTTCTATACGACGATATCAAAAGACCTACTTGCGGCGATAAACGTTCGTGGCATATTTTTTCACGCATGGTCTGAAATTAAATTTTTGATAATGAATGCAACCGGATTTTATAATCGGATTTAGTTCGTCGTGACACGAAAACGCACAGAATTAAAAAATCATTAAGAACATTGATGAGAGAAAAGAAACTAATTTATTAAAAATTTCGCAGTTACTTTAAAGCATCAATTGCATAATATTAAAAGTTTGTCTATAATAGAGATAAATAATTTATAAAGTTGTTAATAAACTACTTTTTATTAAACTTGAAAAAAATAGGAAATTAATAATTAAATTATTCAATTATTTCCTATTTTGAATTGTGATAATTAATTCGTGGTCAGAATCAGTATTTACAACTTATTGTGTGTTAGTAATAAATAATAGAATTAAATATCAACAATTGTGAAACTTTCAAAAAATAATGAAGCAAGAAAATTGAAGAGCTATTTATTTCATTTTAATTATATTTCTATTTATAGTAAGTAACCGGAAATCATATGCGCACGTAAGAGTCCTTCATCCTTGACATAGCCATCGTAACATTGGCATTGAATCGAATGATTCATTCATATCACGATCACGACTTTCTCATTCCGTTTTGTCTCTCTATCCTTATGCCATTATCCTTTCTAGAGCTACTAATTTCACCTCACCGAACTTTATTAAATTGTAACTCCTGATCGAAAAGGAAAATAGCACGATGGTACATCAGTGATGCACGTTGCGTGCGAGTTTCTCGCACGAAAATGCGCATCGGAGACACTTTTGTCCTGCCCGACTTCTTCTCTGTCGTAACAATAAAACAGCAACTAGAATTTTGGGTCGAGTTTGCATAAGCATTCAGGCCGTCTCTAGCCGACGAAATATCGATCAACATCTTTCGTGCAATCAGTCAATTCTTTTTGTGTGTTCTCAGTTTGCTTACTTTTGACAAGTCAAATTTATATATGATAACAAGAATTCGAGAAGCTGTGAAACGAATGTTGTATTATATTGAGATATCTTATTTTCTTCTTAGAGATGTAAAGCAAATGTTTTTGAAAATACAAGATTATTTAATAGTACAGATCACATAAGCTATAATAGACGTAAAATAGTTTATAGCTACGTAATAAAATGTTTTTAGTAAAAAGTGAGCTCTATATTCTTATATTATAAACATTTTTATACATGATCTATTGTTCAATTTTATTTATATTTATATATAATTGCATATATTCTTATATATAATTTCTATTATTTTAAATCGAGTTTATTGATAATTTATTCAAACATTCTACTGCATTTATTATGTATAAAATACAAGGTAAATAATTAACAAATTTATTTCTTCCTTTATTTTAATATATTTTTATAATCTTTTTTTTATTATTTTTTTACAAAATGTAATTTTTTTTAATGTATAATATTAGAGCAATAGTATATTCTTATAGCTGCATCTCCGAGGAAGAAAATGTAAATTAAATTAGAGAAAATATTACATCAGAGAAAAATGCAATAAAAATAATCGATAAGATTTGATTGATAAAACGATTTATGAAAACTAAAAACTTTTATTATACATATTTATTTATTAAGTAACGCAGATGGAACATATATACTAGTACAACTAATAAATATTAAATAAATTTAAGCGGATGAATGAAATGACGAATTTTCTTCTGCATCGATTTTTATATTAATTTCTATATTGATTTTTATTTTCTATAGGCTCTGTATGGTCCATGAGGTGCGGTGTCCCAGTGAGGCGGATGTTCAACAGGTGGATGTCCGTAATGAACAAGTTCGTAAGCGACTTTCGGTTTGGTCAACTTGAAGATCAACATTGCCCCGCTGAGGACCAACGATAAAAGACCCAAAGTTAGCGCTTTCCACGTCTTTAAGGCGATCAAAGCAAGACCAAGAGGTACCAAAGTGGTGGCTTTGAATTTGAGACCAAGTAAGAATGGTATCATCACCTTCTTGACGAAACCACGACCTGCAAATGTATATAAAATTAATGCACTTCTCAAGAAATATTAAATTCTAAAAATATTAAATTTTCCTAATTAATTTTCTTCGCAAGCGGTTTATGTTAAATAATAATTATAGATAAAATTATCGTCTGTAACATATATTATTTATTGTTAGATTACTTACCTTGTTCATTGGAAGAATCACTAAGAGGGACCGTAAGACTTTTTGGCATGCTGTCAGCTAAAGATCTAGGAACAATATTTGATTCCGCTATTGTTTCCGGTAGTTTAGCCTCAAGCTGATGGCTAGACAAATACTCGTCCAATTTCTCGAGCATCAATGTTCGCAGCTTCTTGGATGGATCTGCAGCATCATATTGCGAGGAATAGTAATCTTCCACGCTATCTGCTACCACGGAATCCGCACTACGGCATTTAATTAACGCTAAATCCTCCGTAATTGCCAATCTGTCTTGTTTTGCAGCATCAGTGAGGTAAGCCAACACTTTTGGTTTAACACAAGATAACATGGACTCGCTATCTGCGCATCTGTAATGTTCGAAATTTGTATATAATACGATCATTTAAATATTTCTCATATATCACTGATTTAAATAATTTTTAAATGATGTTTATAACGATACAATTAATTTTTAATAATTAAAATTATTTAGATACAAAAAAGTTATAATATAATCATAACATACCTGTGATAAATTTTTTGCAGGACATCGACAGTGGTCTCTGTTTGTTGCGCACCAGTAAGGGTTGCCAGAAGGGCTACTGACACAAAAGTTAAGAGCCTCATGACGGTACCACCGATTGGTTAGAGGCTAAACACCGAATGCCAGTACGAACGAAGTCAACGGGGTTTTATAGGCGATGGCATTCGTGTACGGTTGATGAATTTTGATTAGAGACGTGTTGCCGGCTGGCCGAAAGAAAAGAAGAAAGCCTTATTATCTAGGGTGTCGATGGTTTCACAAACTATAAATGCCCTGTCGTCCCTCTGGAATGGTTTCGATTTCGACATCCATACCAAATATTATTTCCATTTTTAGAATATATCCACTCGATGAACAGTACTCAAATAAAATATATTTTTGTGAAGTATATTCACATAATAGTTTCAGTAAATTTATAGCATGATTTTTATTAATACGAATATAAAAATAATTATACATTTATCAATAAATTTATAAGTAAAAATTTTAAACTCGAGCTATCGAAATATTAAATCAGATTTTCATTTTTATCCATTCAATTTTTTGAACTCAAATGCAAATGTAAATTTCAACAAAAGAAGAATAAATATGTATTATAAACGTTTTTGATATGTCAAATTTAAAATAATTATATATTATACGCACGATTAAATTATTTTACTTAATAAAAGGTAATTTTATTATAATATAATATTAAAAATGTCATACATTTGCTTTTATTCCGCTTTTTGTTATTTTTGCTTTACTCAATTTAGCAATCTCTTATCTTTATATACCAAGCAATAAATAAAATAGCGATACCACCATAAAATTAAATTGTATATGAGTGTAATTATAATTTTAAAAATTAATATTATCCAAAAAATTAATAAAAAAATGAATAATAAATTGATAATAAATAAAGATACGATACACACTAGTAATAAATAAAGATAAGATACTCGTATACTAACTGAAAAAGATAACACTGTGATTTATCTCTCTCAAATTTATTTTTAAAGAAAAAAATTAATAGTATTTCTGAGAATATTCATGAAAGCGCTGAAATCTTATTAGTATTATATATATTTAATTTACTTAAATTTTTTGCTATTAAAAATATAATGACCACATTATGTGTACAAATATACATTCATTACAAGGATAATGCACATAATAATATAAAAAAACATTGATTTAATGTTTTATTGCAGATAAATTACATTATGATTAAATCGTACAACTATAAAAATATTTATTTAAGTTTTACATCAAAATAAATATATTTATCTAAAAAGTTCATGATGAAATTAAATAAAAAGTAACAGTTGTGTGTTGGGTATGGCACCCGAATATTTAATAATAATAAATTAGTTATTTCTCTAGCGGAATAAATAATTTTTATAAAATTATGCAACAGACGCTATTTCCTAACTAATTTTTACATAACATCACATGCATATAGAAAACACAATAGCTTTTAAATTATTGCAGAACATTATTTAAACATTTTATGTCATTGTATAGTATTCTACAAAATATATGAAGCCTATGAAGTAATAATTATTTTGTATAAGTGAACAGTAAAAATATATATTGTGTAAGAGAAAAAAATGTTCTTTTTCTTTATCAAATTCTATTCTCAAAGCATAATCGAATTAATAAAATTCCCTATATTTTGAAATCCATAATTTTTAATTACACTAAAAGTTACCAAAAGTAAGAAATCATAAAGCACATTTATAACCCATAAAATGCCACAAAATCCAATGTCGTATCAATCTTATTATATGATTATATAATAATGATGTTACCCCTGGAGAGCGGGTTTTGCTGACAACGTGTCAATAGCCTTCAGAAACTTTGACACATCATCACAAAATCCACTGATTATTAACTCCTTACTAAATTGGTCGCTTAAATTAAAAAAATTAGAATAAATAATAAATATTACATTTAACGCGTGTCGATCACTTTCTTAACTAAATTAATCATTAAAACTTCTACGAGCGCATTTATCTGCGGAACAATTCCAATTTCATTTCTAATAGGAAAATTGGACATTAGTTCTCGCGCACGTTTTATAAATTATATATTTATAAATTAATGCATGGCAGTACCGTTGATCTACTACTTTTATATCGATATTACATTACGCAACTTTACAATATTGATCTATCTGCAGGTTCTACGAGCTTATTGAGCAAATATGTATGTCTAATAACATTTGCTAGATGTAACAGATAACAGCTGTCGTATTCTAATCGCTTTAATACGGTCCGATATAAATTCTACGTTTATAAACGAAGTATTTATTCGGTATTGTTACAAGGATATGTACTGAGGCAATCTTCACCATCTTGACCGTGCCTGGCTGCATTCACGTATCTGTAAAATCTTTCACTGTACACGCTCTCTGTTACGCTGTTCTTCAGTTCCTGTGGATCTCTGAAAATATATATAAATGTTCTAATAAATTTTTTTAATTAAGCCAGTATTATCATAATAATGATAGTAGTATTTTGTAAACATGCGAAAATTATGAATTTTAAGTTACATGCGCGTTTTAAAGTGTGCTTAATTTAAGTCACGTTACGTTTCTTGATCATTACTCAAGTAATACGGTATAAATATGTAACAAAAACGCAACCTAAAAAAATTTAATTAAGAAAAAATTAATCTTCAAAAGCTATAATTGTGCGTAAGCCAGTTATCCAACAAACGTTCCGGTCACAACAAAAACTTTCCGGTTTATCGCATAGCCGGTTCGGTGAAAGCATCTTTTGTAGTTTACGCTTATTGTTAACGGAATGCAAGCAAAACGCAATGCAAAACCAGATAAGCTTGAAGTACAAGGCGCGAATTTACAATCGTGGCATTAAGAAATGGGAAAAAGGAACGATGTAAAATGTAAAAAAAAAAAAGAAGAGGGACGAGAGAGAGAGCCAAACATGACCCGATTAACGTGATTCGGAGCACGCAAGCGATCTCCACCTTTCTCTTTGTGATTGCACCGCGATTTAATCGATAAGCTGCATAGTTTCATACCTGGAAAGCTCGTTTGACACAAGATTACTGTGCGGCGAGTAGCCAGCCGGGTTCTTGTACATACTACAGACGAGCATCTCCCTGCAAGTCTCTTCGTAGAATCTCAGTTGTCCGAAGATGTCGTCCAGTCGTGACATTATCGGTCCGTAATACTCATCATCCGTTTCTTGCTGCGAAATCGACGAGCTCTTGGCGGTTGCAATAGGCGTCAAGAGCCTCTGATGAGTTAGTCGTACATTTGGCGCGAACACGGTGTAAGGATTCTTCGCCGATGTCTTTGTACCGGATACGAGATTTGCGGGATTTATCGAAAGTACAGTAGCAGTCGGCTGCGCCGCGGGTCGCCGATTGTATTTAATGTCGTTCAGATATCCGGAGTAGGCCAAGTTGTGCGCGCCAGCTGTCATTGAATTATCTAAATAAGATGATGCAATCGGTTCTACGTTTGGCATATTTTGCGGCAACGGACCTGAATACGAGAGACCGGAAACTGGACTTGGAGCTGGAACTACGCGATTCAACTGTTGACTGGCCTCGTAGGACTGACCGGCTTCGTAGGGCTCGTCGTAAGGTTCGATGCCCCATTCTTTCAACTCTTCCATATCTTTCCGATACTGAACATGAGGGTGGGTGTAATCGTAACCGTTGAAGTCATCGCGATGGTAATAAGATGGAACGGCTACCGGAACCGGCACATGATGATGATGATGCGCTACCTGAAATGAAGATTGTCAATTAAATATTGCATATATATTTTAAACAAGGTTTAGATGAGAGATAGAGAAAAATCACACGCATACTTGATGATGATGATGATGAAACTTGGTAGAGTGAGACGCATAGTAGCTGGAGCAGAGCTTGAAAATATGCGCGAACGCAGGAATGAAGAACAGCAGCAGTTTCAGGAAAAGTTTCTTCGCAGCTCCCACTCCGAAGAGAAACGGAATGATAAACAGGAACTTCACTTTAATCAGCTTGATAATTAAGAGAAGCGCCAAAAAGCTGGTTAACAATTTATTCTGTACGAACTTTTCTAAAATAAAACAAAAAATATTATATATTATAAATTTTGTCATTTTGATTGATTTTATAAAACAATTAACAAATATAAATAAATAATAACATTTATCGTTTTTGTAAAACAATAAATATTATTTTCTCAATATTATAAATAGCACATGTGCTTATATTAATTGTTAAGGATGCTCACTGATTTTTTTAAAGAAGATTCGTCCCTCTTGTTGTCCAACTTCTTGATTTCCAAAATCTACTCTGAGAAGAGCTCCGGTCTCGTCTATCTCGCGTGGGCTTATCTTCACAGTTGTGCCCTCGAAAAAAAACTGCGGAAGTTGAATTTGGTAATTTCGCGTCGATAAAAATTTCATTGTCTTCTGTCGTAAAGCGTTCGTGATTTCTTGGAGTGGTGATACCGGTTCATCCTCAAACTTCCGATTTTGCTCCTTCGCTTCTTCGTCCGTTTCTCGATGGCAGCCATTCGCGTCGACGTCATCCACGAGATTCTCACGAACGTTATTGGAATTTTCCGTTTTAGGACACGTATCGTAAGTAACATTATTTCTCGTGAGTAATAGACCGTCGAAAATGGTGATATTATCTCTCTCGATGAATGTATTATCAAGATAGGTGTACGCGTTCTTTTGTATGCAGGAAAACGTCACTCTCTTATCGCAATCCCTGAAGAGTCCGTGCCAGAGCTCGTTTTCCGTCTCGTTGATATGCAACGTATCAAGCTTCAGGATCTTCGCAAATAATTTAAGTTTCTCGACACTGAACAGGCTCGAGTGTGATAACGTTATCAAGAGACATAGCAGGAACAACGTCGATCCCCAATGCATCTTCGATAGCACTTTTGAGAGATTAACTACGTTTAATTTAATTTGTATATTTTATATTTGACTCGGCTTTTTTTTTTTACTTGTATATGACCAGAAATATGAGGTAGCGTACCGGAAGCACTGCACGCTCTGAATTGTACACCACCGGCGGTACCACTGGCCAATTACTTATCTAGTAACTGAAACCGGCGCACTTTTCATTTTGCAAATGAGTCATCGTCACTTCGTCCACGTACACGTCCAATTCTTTGGTATCTACCCGCGGTCATCACATGCCCTTTCTACTTATTGGAGATCTCGCTGCTCAACGTCAACCCTCCCTCCTACTTCCTATCCAAAAACCTGACCTTCTCCCACCTTTTTATCGGCAATCCTCTTCTCCGCGCGACAGCCTCCTCGGCTTCTCCTTCGGCGCGACGTGCAATCGGCAGACTCTGCCGTTGCAATCACGTTGCATCGCAGACGTCGATCATCGCGTTACTAACGTGCTCGTGACTGTTGTCACATCTTTCGACCTGTCTCGTCTCCTTTTTACCTTTCTTTTTCTCTGTCTCACTCTCCTCCGTCGCAGACGCGCACCGTTCGATCTCTCGCTTCGCACTAACCACGGGCCTTTCCGTTCTCGCTTACAATTCACCTGAACGTCAAGTATGTCAAATGCCCTCCTACTCCTTCTTCTTCGACGAGAGCTCCTCCGTGGAAGGTCATTATCGTCTCCTCTCGGACTGCAACCGGCCAGGTCTGCGGTTACACACGCGCGCGTTTAAGACCGTTGGGCTCCTGCCCGAAGACCTGGTCAGATGCATCATAAATATGCAAACATCTGGCGGGACACGGGAGCTCCTACGATCAAGTAGGAATGTCGTGTCTATTCTCATTTTTTTCCCAAGGTTCAATTTTCTCGAGAATATCTAATGATATTCAGTGGTTCCCTATTTGTATTTCTGTATATTTGTATTCGTATTTATAGTTGAATGTTAAATTATCTTGAAATTTATCAAAATTCACGAAAACTGTATTTTCTATTTATGCAATTTACTCGCGTGGAGGTGAAACTTGAATAACTTTTGTTTAATTGCAGGAAAAGATCTGCCTCGTACTTTTATTACATCTTGCACAAGATTATATTCTCTGTAGGACATCTCATTAATTTTTCTACATTCGCGATAAATATGTAAGATACAATTAAGCTTCAAATTACGTATATTATGGAGTGGCACGCAATGTCGCTTTTTATATAAAAAAAGTTAATTATGGTCATTCATGAACTGTCGGTCGCAGTTCGTTTCTTCAAAAGATGATGATAGCAAGAAATTTCCAAGTATATAGTTGAATTGTCACATGGTCGGCCATTTATACGGAATTATATACATATACTTCTGCTACGTGTTCCGGTGAAAATATAGTTCAACTTCCTTATCCATGTGCCGATATAATGAATAGAAATTAGTAACATCAAACTAGAATTAAAATATCATTATAGTTGTAAAAAATAAGATGTTAAAATCATTTAGATGCCATAATAATTAATTGCAAGTTGAATTTAAGTGCACATATATTCAATGAAAATATGTATTGCACATATTGCATTTAAATATAAGTATAAAATTATTTATTTGCGTATATAAATGATTCAGTAAAGATATTTTTTTAAAGTTTACTGTTTGCATGTAATCTTTATGTATGTGTGTCAAGTCAAAACGCAAAATAAGAATCTATTTTTATCGAATTTTTGATAAAGAGATGTTTTCCAAGATTTAAGTTTCTCTGACACATATTTTTTAGACCTATTTTTTTATTTTACTTTACTGTTTTATTAAAATAATCAGCAATAACGGCGGTTAAGAAAAATTGTTGACGTTTATAAAAATGTTTTAATATGAAATGACAGCGACAAATTATCAGGTAATTAATATCTGTATTTAATTTGGTAGTAAAATTTTTTTTAAATCTTATTTATGTGCTTATATATAATAGAAACACATACTTACACACTTTCAGATCCGTGAAGATAGTGGGGTATTTATGAATGAATCCCAGATAGTGAATAGTTTTTTCCACGTGAATGCTAGACCATACATGCACTATGTTTCTTATTGGTACACTGAAACAACACTGTACGTTAAAGCATAATAAAAAAATTCCACATTTATGCATGAGCATTATCATAATGAAAAAATTATGATAAAGCAAGTAGTACTATATACAGATAAACTCATTTATGATTCAACAATGTAATATACTTTTACTTTGTGAAACATCGTAATTCTTAAAGAAATAATGTTTTATGATCTTTGAAAGAAATATGATATTTACGATCCTTATCTATATATATGTTTTACTACGAATAGTTTTACGATCCTTATCTATATATATGTTTGAATGTAAAAGGAAAAATCCAAACAAAATTAGATATTATTATTACTGCTTTTCTAACTTGTCAATCGCGTTTCTCAGGCTTTTCACTAGATAGATTTCTGGTGAAGGTGTTCTCATTATTCCAGCCAGCAACTACGCGATCCATTAAATCCGTATCTAACTTCTACTTAAGTGACAGTTAGACTATCTTCTTCGTCTTGCTGATGATATTTTTCGATAATTTTGATAATGCAATATAATAATAACAAAGATACTTGCATTATATATTACATCTATATAATGTATTTTTATATACTTCCTAATTTTGTGAAAACAATTTTTTTCTCTCAATAAAATTTTATAAAAATATATTACGGTCGTCACGTTTCTCTTCTTGCATTATATTCCAAAATTTTAATATACATATGTGTCTACATATATATCACATAATATTAAATATATAGGTCACATAATATTAACCTTAAATATATTAAGATATTACTAAATTTTTATTACTATATTTTCATTACGATGTTTTTTGAATATAAATGCTTTTTTTTTACATATAAACGAGTTTGAAAAGTAGGGCATTGATCTGTCAAATCGGTCCGGGTTGAAAAAACAGAGAGGTCGTCTCAATAACGAAGAGCATTTCTGGGGAAATTATCTTGCAATATACTACCAAGTAGTTGATCGAGTGGGCCAAGCGAGTGGACCGAATGAATTCCATTGACCCACTAATGAAAGATGCTACAGTAGGTTGAGGCGCATGACCGGCTTACGCGTTCGCTGCCGAAAAGCCGATCGAACACGCACAAGACGCATTCAACGAAACAGGATTTCACGTTGGGAATTTTGTTCCGCCACGCGAAGATTTGTCTTGCCTCTCCGTTGACGAATGTAAAATATAACGTGCACGCGCGTTCTTTCCCATTTTACCTCACTTCTTCTGAGCTCTCGATACCCATGGAGGAACAAGAGGTTCATTCAACACTTTAACGTAACCCAGTTACGTCTTGACCATAATTCATCATATAATGATGAGGGCGACAAGAGGCTGCTTCTTCATATCACTGAAATATAAATGCAACATTATTATATGTATATTAAAATTAGCTTTTTGAAATTTAACTTTAAGTGAAAATATCAGTTTATAAAGCAATTAGTACGCACGTGTGTGTAAATTTTGAGGAAAACGTATACAATATTAATTTTATTTTATTTATGATGTACTAAAGCTTCTCAGAGGTAAACCAATTAAGAAATTCATATTATAAGTATGAATAATTCGTTTTTAAGTATATTATAAATTTTCCTTGAGAGTTAATATAAGATGTTATTATTGTGCAAATCGTACCGTTGAAATATACATTTGATAGAACTTCGCTTGATGAACTTGCTTAGCAATTTTAGTGATGGTTACCAAGTATATTAGTGGCTCCACTGCACATACACAATCACAATTTCTCTTTTTTGCTTAATTATTTCTTCATATATAATCTCGAAAAGAGGAAGCAATCTGTGCCGGTCTGACTGTAACATATTATTTGGGATATGTCAGTCACCTGTGACAAGTGCGTCTGTATATACATTAGAAAGTATTTCGGATGGTAGATAGTAGTAGAAATTGTTAGCGTCGTAAACCAGAAACGCAAACTTCAATAGCGATAAGAGCCCCAACGGAAAGTATTTGCGGTGCATCGAAACTGGTTTGTACGTGCACAAAGTGAACCAAGCAACTGGGACATGTCACATATTGGATGAGCGATAAAATTTAAGCTTTATTACCTGTTTAAAAATGATGCATTGTATGTTAATTGAAGTGAGTTTCATTAAAAATTATTTAATAATTAATGAGTTATATATATATTAGAGAAAATACATATATTAGAGAAAATTTATATTTTTTTATTTTATATTAGAGAAAATTTATATTTTTTTATTTTATGTTAGAGAAAATTTATATTTTTTTATTTTTAATACTTTGAATTTTTATTTCTTGGCATATGACTTTATTTATCAAATCATTTTTAAAGATTGCTTTATTTATCAGTTACAAAAATCAGTTTAAAAATTTTAATTTTATTATAAATATTTTTAAATGTATAATATAAATTTATGTATAATATAAATTTAATAACATAAAAAACTTTCAATTTTTTTTAATTCTACATTAAATTTAAATTTTATTTGTAACAAAAATATATTATAGCTTACTATCTACCGACTATATCACATATATCATGCAAATGAAAACTGTCATCAAAGAATCAATCATAATTTTTTCATCCTCTCATTTTTTTGACAAAGAGCGATGACGTTTACTTACCCACTTACCTATCTTTCTACACTTCTTCCTATGAATCAAGCAACATGCAAATATAATATTATAGCACCATCTCTGACGGAACAAATAGTATACTGCATTGCCTCATGTTACGCAGCATAGACCGCTGTCCAGTCTCCTTCGTTACGTCACAAAGTGAGGCGGTGAAATAGCTTTCGGCATTTGTAACAGATACATATATATGTATGTATATAAGAATAACTAAAAACGGAAACAGAAACATCTTATTAAATATGTAGATATACGGAGATAAATATTGGAAACAAACTATCACATCCTTATTGTAATAACTGATATTACTTGAGTTAATATTAGAAAGAATAAATATAACGGAAAGTTACAATATCTTTTTTCTCTTAAGCAAATTTTATCAGAGCGTAGAAAAAGAAAAATTATTTCTATGTTTTTATTATGCAATTATAAATTTTTATGTTTTTTTTTTATAATTATTATAATTTTAATTGTATAAAAATCAATTACTTGATATTTTTTTCAATTGCTATTATGAGATGCAATAAGGAAAGTGACCCAACCGATCCTCAACGCAATATGCATCTAATTCCGGAACAGGAAATCCTCTTTTTGTCGAACGATACGAACACTTTCGCCGCTTTTCCCGATCACGAAAGGGAACGGGATCCCGTTGATCAGTCGGCTATCTAACGGGAATCGGCAAATGACCTCGTGGCTTAAAGCAGGCGCTTCGTCACCAAAGCTAAAGGAGAGCATCCTTTGAGAAAATCAAATGCACGGCCATAAAGGCACTCACTCGTGTCGCTGTCCAAGGAGACAGCTGAGGATAAATTCACTTGCCGTTATTCTTTTCAAATCAGTTCACGTTGCTACCGAAAAGATTACGTGTCGAGAATCTCAAGTAGATA